TAGAGGTCTCATTGCCAAACCCCACTGAGGACAGAGCTGAACAGAAAGGTGTAGCGAAGTCAGGTTTACACAAGTGTTTAGATTTTAGAAATCAGAATTACAAACAGGTAGGTTTCACATAAATCTCCAGATCCCCAACTTTTCTTACAAAATGCCTGGCTGTGGAGGCCCTGAACTGTGGCTCTGGATCTAAATCTTCATGGGACAGAACAGAACTTGCCTGGGAACCAGGAGAGGGAGTTTCTAGCAAAAACATTATTTGAGCAAACTGCTTCTCTTCTCTCTTTGCCAAATAAAAGCTATCGCTGTTCTAAGGCTGTAGTTCATTTTTAGGTTAAAAAAATGGTATAGCTCTTTGGGTCACACAGTTCTTTTATACACAGAATTACCCAGGTAAAAGAAAGCTTTCAGAACATATAAATCAGTGATTTCACAGAAGATTAGCCAAACTATATTAGCTAAACTATATCTGTATAAAAGCCATGATGATTCAGAAAGAGGAAAGTGTTTTTAAGACGAACGACCACTCTACGCATAAACCCATGAGAAGGCAGAAGCTTCCCACCGGCAGATGTTGAGCATGCAGATGTGCAGCATACCCATCTGGGCCCGAAACTTCCCCATTTCCAATTCTCCTCTTGTAGTTCTGGGGAGGGTGAGCATGCCACGCCCCATCCGTGGAGGCTTTCTGCTTGGCTGGCTTCAGACAAAGTTACCATTAACTCCCCAACCTGCAAGAAAATGATTTGACACAAAGGACTCCAATATGTCCTCCTCTCTCCTACAAGCCCGCAAACAAATGGTACAGGGATGAGGTCAGAAAGGAATCCCCCGCCTACCAGGCCGCTGAATTCATTTACCTACCTCAGAGCGCATTCACAGAAAGGGGTGGGACGGGAACAAGAGATGCTTAGAGGCCAAGTGGAGTTTGGAGGTCGAGCGCTACATTACAAGATTTGACAGGCCTTTGGCAGCCTTCAGCTTCTTTGTGTCCGTCACATAATAGAGCAGCACAAACTGAGCAGCACACGATCTGTGGCTACGCCCTTGGGCAGAGCATACTCTTTGCAAATGCTAATAGTATTGTAGAATAGTATTGTAGCATCCTGTCACCCAGTAACACAAAAAAGGATGTTGATTTTCACATGAACCAGAACAGGCCCATTGTACACAGGTTTGTGACCAACTTGTAGTATCTGCACATCAAAAGCCCAGCCAATCACAGGGTCCGCAGCTGGCGAACTGCACCGGAGGGGGGCGCTCAATGGGGAGATCTTCCAGGTCCAAAGGCCTTGTTCCTCCAAAGGGGAACGAGACACAGTGCTTCTGACATGAGCGAAATTACACTCTATGATCTTGACTTGGCTGGGACCATGCTAATGAGTATAATTAGCAAGACCAGGAGTGTGTGAGGTGTTTAGAAAGAGGTGTGTGATAATGGAAGTGGCTTTGTGGTGGTGCTGAGAGCCTCCGAAATGGCCCAGACAGCCCTGTTGGCACCCTCAGACCATTTCCCTTCCAACTGTCTGGAGAAACTGGAAACAATGCAAAGCAAGAAATTTGCAAGTGTACGAGATTTCTTGATAAATTTAGTTGAAACTGTAAAAGATTTCAATTTATACCTTTCAAAAGTGTTAAGTTTATCAGAAACAAAAGGTCAAAGGGAGTAATTTGGGAAAATAAAGTGTGCAATTAACGTTTAAAAACTCAAGAGAAAAGCAATTCTGTACCTTAACAGGTTAACTCAAAACGTTCAAGAGGACATGCGTTGGCTTGACGGGAAAATTAACATGTTGAAGAAAAACCTTGCAGCGCTCAGTTTACTCCTGACACGTACTGCCAGAGCTGACATAAAATCGGACCCTCCTGAATCTTGTCTTCCTACAGGAGCCACACGTCTCTGCTGATAATTTCCTGCTTGCAATGCAAGGACTGCCTGATTGTTAAAGAAAACGTTCCCAGACCATTTTGGTTAGGAAACGAGTTAGCTCATGTTGTGTTTTTTAGGTGTATCATGTGCCCTAATGTGCTTCTGGTATTATAAATATATTTGGCCCCCTCAATTTTGAGGGTTGTATTTTGGAAAGTGCATAGGTTTGTAGTGAGACTGGCTTTCAGATTTTGACTTTGCTGCTCACTAGAATGACCTTTGGTAAGTCGCTTCAAACTGTTCTGAGCCTGCCTTATTTCCTCACCTATAAGATGAAAATATTCCCTGTTTATGAAAGGCACAAGACCCTTGTGAAAAACACAAGATACCCTGGTTTCTTTACTCTGGATTTAAGTTCTCCTTTAAACAAAAAAGTTTCAAGCTGGGTGTAACGTCCCTGTCCGTAATTTCAGGACTTGAGAGGCCGAGGCAGGAAGATCACAGTAAACTCAAGGCCAGCCTGGGCTACGTAGCATGTCCCTGTCTCAAACAAACAAAAAGGAAGAAAAGGAAAAAAAGTTTCAGAGTCCATCTTTTGGCAAGACATGCACTGACCATAAAAAGGGGTCAGGAGTTTCCTGATGGGTCCTCAAAGGGTGGCCAGTTACGATCCCTCCTTGAAGCATCTGAGTCTGGCTAAGGCCCTTCTATCGGGCTGTGGTAAAGATGAGCCCCTGCTCTGGAAGCTTCGGACTGGGGCATCTCTCCACACCCTTCTTCCCCACACGCATCAGGCACCTCCTGCTGCTGGGTGCTGCTCAGGGCCACAGGAAGGCAGGTTCACTATTGTTAACTGGGTGCGTGCTGTGTATCTTCTCGGGGAATCAGTACAATGATATCTGGTTTTTTACATATAAATAAATTGTAGAAAAATTACATATATTTAGCATGCAAGGGGATTGGGTGTTTACCGCCTGGTGCATCAATCCCTCCAGACAATGTTTCTTAAAGGAGAAACAGGAAGCTCTTCATCTGCCTCAAGGTGTAGGACTACTTCTGTATGCAGTATGGAAGACAGGTGCACAACAAACGGAACAGAGACTAAGCGAGCAGAAAAAGGGCTCGGTTCCTCTTTTCGGCCGGGGGCATGAGGCAGAGACTGGCCAGGGCCTTGAGTGCTCAGGTCAGCAGGACAGGAGCACACGCATCTGTGTGAAGGACTCTGCAGGCAGGCTGTCCAGCATCCTGACATTAGTGAACCATTTTCTCCAAATGGGTGGCATTGTAAACTGTGAAAGCCAAGGGCCTGACATTAGATGAAGAGGTAGGCATGGAGTCCAGGTAGTGCAGCTTTCTGATAGTCTGACCTAACTCTCAGCTACCTGTTCCCTGCAAAACTTCCCACGAATATCAGGTGTCCCAAGCAAATGCTAGCATGTGCTGGACTGTGAGAGCCCTGACAGTGGGTCAAATCCTGATTCCTAGAGGCTGCCCTGTGATGGAGTAGCTAAGGGGAAGCACAGCAGCCACTCAGGCTTGGCTGCTAGGGAGCAAGAGCAGCTGGACAGGGGAGGCTGTGCTCCTGGGAGCCTGGGGGTGGGGCAGGCGCGTGGACAGGTCCTGGGCACCACTCTCAGCTCACTTTTTCAAGTGTTGAATATTCTCAAATACTGGGATAGGAACCAGCTGACGCCTGGGTTAATGAATTAAAAAAATAACAGCCCCAACAATATGACTTCTTTACCACAAAGAACCACTTTGATTTAAAACCATCTAAAAGTAGTAGTTCCGGTACTTGTGTACTGCAAACATGCACCACAAAGGGGAGGGGATGAAGATGCGTGATGTCCAGGTACCGACTCCACACAAGGATCCCGAACACTGTGCACTGCCAAGAAACATTATGTACCGATAAAGTGATCTGAAAAACACAGCAGTTACTTCCTTGTCACTGACTGATCCCCAAAAACCCTTTCCACTGGCTCTGGAGGATTGGGCATCACTCTAAGACCACCTCGGAGACAGATCATGTGCATGCTCAACTTGCAAGCTGGTAGCTCAGTCCTCATTTTAGGGAACAGATTTAGCCTAATGACTTATAATGTAGGTGCTTTTACACTTAGTTTTATCGATTGTCTTCTTGGGCTAACGATCACCCAATTTAAAATTTCTTGATACAGTTCGACTTAACCTGTAATGATTTTTGCAGTCCTTGTTTTTTTTTTGAGTTCTCTGTGTTTATCAACTTAGCCTCGTGTGTGTTGAACATGACGATCTCCGTTATCACAGTCTGGGTGAGTGATTATTTTAGAGTACGTCTTGTACTACGATTAAGTAGCAAATCTGTCTCATCTATAAGCACGGACAGTTATGCTGACTCCTCAGTTGCACATGATAAGTCTTCAGGAGCTTTTTCCTCACACTTCTTTGACCCATGGAGATTTTAAAATTTGAACCACACAGGATGAAAAATTAATTTAAAAGACAATTATTGCCTATGTACCTTCTAAGGGAATTTGTAAAAGAGGCTCCTGACACCAGAAATATATCATTTTACAGCTACTCTGGACCACTTACTGAAGTAACTGTGACTTTGGAATCTTCCCAGTTTTGATGTTAGCCAAGTACAGGAGGTGTGGAGAAGGCACACCTGCACTCCACCTGACTCGACAAATTTAATGATCGAGACACACGGAGCATTATGTATGAGCAAAGTGCCGGGACTGGGAATTTTAACGAGGTGGTGGGTGGAATTAAGCCATCCTCACAGCTCCTTCGCTGGAACTTCTCAGTAAGCCTCACGTATGATGGAGCATGTAAGCATCATTTGTGAAAATGATGGCCGTGGCAGCAGAGTGCAATAGGAAAGCAGGTTTTATATATTTTACCAAAGAAAATATCAAAATGTTGTGACAAGTATCATGAAAAAAAAAAAAAGCATTAATTGAACAGGTTATATCTGTACAATGCAAGGTATGTGACAGTGAAGCACCCAGAGGAGCCACATTAAAGTCTGCTACAGTGTGAATTTGATTACCCAATGGGGCCAGATGATCCAGGGTACACAGGGTTTTCTCTCTCTCCCTCATAAAGCAGGGAAAACTCTAAAAGATGCTCTCCAATAACAGAATTATAATGTGATTAAGTATCTTTTAATTATTCATCCACACAAATGAACTTAGATCAAGTGCAGGCAAAATATAAGTTCTATAATGTCTATATGTCACGTGAGGTCTTAAAACTACAAAGTCGATTCACAATGAACAAGCAAACACAAAGTTTTAAATATTTAAACAACATGTAACCATGATCATTCAAAATGTGCATATTTTTAAGCACATTTCCATACTGCTAAAGTATCTGAAAATATATGCCAGCTTAGGTGACTGAGATAAAAGTCATTGTTATGATTACATTTATTGGAAAGAGAAAATGTTTCTTTACTCAGATAAATACATCTAAAATAAATAAATACAAAATGATTAGCTGGTTAAGGAATTAGTCTTTTAAACCAACACTCTAAATTTTTTATTGTGAAATCCCCAAATTATAAAGTCAGGAAGCACCACTCTTTCTCCTGCTACATGATTTCTTTGCATTTGGTCACTAAGTTTCTGCAAACGAGCCATGGGAACAAAGCTTGGAGAATGGGGGCCACACAAAGAGGACAGAATAGAGCTAAGGTGCTGGAAAGGCAGGGCGCCCTGCCAGTCACTGTAGCTCAGTCAGTTCAGCGCGGAGTAGCAAGAGCTGCCTGCTTGCTTCCTCCGGTGCACGGCCCCCATACACCGTTAAAATGAACAATCCTGACCAATCACCTTTGGATATCAACTATTTTAAATTTTTATTTTTTTGGTACCAGAGATGGAACTCGGGACCTTGTGCTTGCGAAGCAGGCAGCAGAACCACTGAGCTAACTCCCCGGCCATCTATTTTAAATTAATCAATCTTTCATACAGCGTTTTCCTCACTCCATTCTTCAGAAATTCTAACATGAAAAACAAATGATTCCTTGTCCAGTTAGACTTTAGCTTCTGTAGACTGCACCCATAAAGTTATTTTTTAAATTTAAATTTCAAGCTCTTCTAGTTTTGGGGCTACAGACACAACACATGGGGTTCACTGTTGGGATTGAATTTTATTTTTTCTTTCTGTAACATCTGCATTTAATAAAGCTAGGTATTTACCTAATTTTCAAGGAAAAAAATATGTTTAGTATGAGATCAGCTAAAAAAAAATCCACGAAACAATTATTACTGAGCGGGTTCGGGAGAATGTCAGGATGTCAGGGGTCACATGGGATTTTTGATAATACTTTTATCATCTACTTAAATATTTAAGTTACAATACTGATTGATCTCTTCAAAGAAAAGAAGTTTCTCCTCCTCTCTCTGGAAAACTTGAGGGATGTGAAAGATTACTCCCAAACATCAGCTTTTTGCTTGGGAGAAGTATTTAGAAATACAACTGATGGCATTTTTTTCTATCTGTAGTTCACAGAAACAAATATGACCCTCTCTCTTCCTGTTGTGGAAAGAGCTGTGGCTAAAATGAGTGTTCCGCCACTGCAAAATCATCACTGCTGCTACAGGATGGCTGCTTCTGGTGAGGTCACCAGGCACAGCGGGACTGAGGGCAGGAGCCACTTCCCCTGAGGGCAGCACACAGGAAAGAGTCTCACTGCTCACTGCTGTGCTTACCCAAGAGCTACCAGCTGCGGAAAACTGGATCCACTTTCCTTATCACTTTAAAACAAATATTTATGGTGTTCAGAATTTCTGACAGATTTTGTGACATTCTCGAGTCTTGCATATTAAGTGTCAGATCTTCATAATGAAGGATACACAGGTATTAAAAAATAAAAAGTGGACGGTAGCAAGGGAATTGTTACCAAAAAACCAATCCAAGAAAACTACAAAATGTAGTAACTTGCAAAATAAAAACTGTCACATGAGCATTTTTGTCCACATAAAAGGCTTAATAAAAAGGTAGGAAATGAGAAAGACAGTTTAATTAAAAGATGGCATGTTTCTTTGCTTTAAAATTTTTTGGCCAATTAAAAAATCATGTAACATAAAACACAAGAAAATATCGGGAGCATATCACTGCAACTGAACTGCAATGAATTCAACTTTAAATTTTCAGCTGAGGGCGAATGGTCAAAACTATTCTAAATGCTGACATAATTTCTGTTTGAAACAGTCCACTGGGGGTTACGGACTAGCTCAGTGATGGAGTGCTGCCTAGGATGCGCAAGGCCCTGGGTTCCACACCCAGTACTGCAAAAGAAAAGAAACAGAGTGAAATAAAACGGTCACATGAAATGAAGCCATTTCCTTATGCCTACTTCCAGCGTTTGACACAATTCTAAGTGAAATTAGTCAACTGATCATCCTTAATCTTCCTCATCCTGTGTCACACAATCGCTCTGTCAACAGGAAAAAAATTGCTGTTAACAGAAAGCCTAAGTATACAACATCCAAAATGAATCAATTTTCACTGGATATAGAGAGTATAAAAACAGCAGGTGGAGGGGATCTGTCTTCCAAGGCAAATTTCTAAGCTGGCAATGAAAGGCTGAAGTTTTAAAAGTGAACAGACATTGAACCTTTGTAAGTCAGACCAGCCTATCACAGGGTTCCTCTCTTAGCCAGTTTTCTTTCACATGGTAAATATAAACGGACTCCCACGGTCAAATGGTTCCTTGGATATAGAACATGACAGATACAGATGATACTTTAGCAGGCTACCATCATTTTATATACAGTTGATAACTCTTAAAAATTGCTATAAATTTTATTCCAAAACAACTAGCATTGCATTTCTGGAAAAGAAACCGACAGCAAGTAGCACCTGCTAATGAATTACACTAGTGCCACCAAGAGAAAGACAACAAGCACATGGCCAGTTCCTCACCTTCGAGGCCATACGTAGTGGCCACACCAGTTACGTTACCCCGGTCGCGCCTTCAGTACAAACGGGCTGCTAACGCCATCTCTGTTGTTCTCCCACTCAGAAGGCAGCTCATGGGTACGCGCCTGAGACACACGTCAGTTATTTTACCCCAGGACTTTTATTGTATGCTTAGAAAGGTGGGACAGCAGAAGAGGCAGGACAAAAGACTGAGTTTTCTTTCTTCAGATATATGGAGAGGTGATTATGTTACCAGTAGAATTCTGTAAAAACAAACCCATTTGATAAATTTAGGTTGGGGGAGACAAATGCAAAATTTCTACACTATTATGTCATGACCATTAAAAAAATTGAAACATCACTGCCTAAGTTTGGTAGTTTTTCTAAAATTATTTAGAATAGCACATAGAATATTTGCATAAGCTTATCAAACAAGATATACCAATAAAAATATACTAGAATTTCTTACACAAAAAGAGTTCCGAATAAATTAAAGTTAATTGGTACTGGAGAATCTGTATGGCTCTGTTGAGTATAAACATCTTCAGCAAATACTAGAATTACAATTACTGAAAACTAGTTTTTAAAAATTCAAAACTATCACAGTGAGAAATCCCACGTATATTAAAATTATAATTGAGAACTACTCCTTCAGGTACTTGGTAACTTTTATAAAATGGTTGGAATGAAACAAGGGTACCATTCTGCCAGATTTATTCTTTTAAATGGGACCTGCGGAGTACAAAATAGATCATCTGATATTTTATGAGTTCACAGAGTAGTAAATCACCATCCTGGGCAGGGTCTTAGAGAGCAGACAGTGAGGTAGCAAGGACGACGAGGGTGGTTTCCCCGTTGGGCCTCTCAGGCCTGCCCCGGCCTGCTCTGGGGGCAGACACTCTTGTAGAGAAAGGCCACGTGCTGGGCAGCCACGAGAAGTCTAGATGTCATACTGACCAATTAATTAGAGCACAGCCACTGCTATGTGAAATACCGGCTGCCTTTGGAGGTCCTTCTTTCAATGAATCCCCCCAGACACACAGCTTATATCCTTAATAGGGTTTCTGTGGCTTTCATGAAAGTTTTTTCTAACCAGAAATGTCCTGTCAACTCTGATGCTACAGACAAGGTCCAATCTCCACCTCTAATAGCAACTGTTCATAATAGCTGTCATGACTGGGATAATACTGGAACACTTTATGGCTTAAAAATAAATTTTTATATATGGAAGACTCAGAAAACATTCACACACACATTTATACACCAAAACTAATTTCGGCTTGCGTTAGAGATAATTCTCTATTTCTGTGGCCTTCTCTACATCTGTCTGAAGGAAACAAAGCGGAAGCTTTACGCTGTCCATCCCTCCCTCGCTGGTGCGCTGTATGAGCGAGGCCCAACCTGAGCAGTGCCTCCCCTGACTGCCTGCGCGCCTCAATCTACTCCCGACAGGAGAGAGTGGGCTGTGGGGCCCCAGCCTTCCCTGGACAGAGCTGGGGAAGCCGGGGAGGGAACCTTCCACAGTGCTGCTCCTTCCGGTTCTATGTGCCACAGGCTGCCGTAGCACGGTGCTCACAAAGTGACAAAATACTTCAAGTAAATGACAATGCCTTAATCACTGCATTCTTCTTTTCTCAACTTCTTCAATTGAGACAAATGACTTACTGATTATAATTTTTCAGTGATAATGAACACCCGACTATGCTACCAAGTGAAGACCTGAAATACATATTTTAGTAGGAACATTCTTACAATGCCAGACTATAGAATCAGACAGGAGTCAACATATTCAGGAGACTAATAAATTCTAAGGTGATATAAGTGAGTTTCAGCAGGAAAAGGCCTTATCTAAATATTTTTAAACAACAGGCTAAGACTAAGAATTACGAAAACTTTTAGTTAAGCCAAATAAAAAGCTTTTTAAGTTGAATATTTAACATACACGTAATTATTCACTATGAACATTAGGAATAAAATAAGGACAATTTTAGATCAGTTCTTTATGCACAGAAAATTGGAGTCACCTGCATGTTATAAAATATCTTAGCCCTCTGTTCACCTTGGCTCTGTCCAAATGGTTTAGTTCAGCTGGCAGGTAACCAAGTTACTCAAAGGGACATCACAGGCTGGTTTCAGAGATTCATACCATTAAAATTAGAAGGAACAACTGGCTACAGTCAAGCAGAATAAACTATTAGAAAGGCTTAAAATACAAATTTTGAAAAAAAAATACAAATTTTGCATTTAGTAACCAATGTAGTAGCAGAACTTTTACTCACTTAATAAAATTTATTTCTCTTGGTGAAGAGCTTCAATGAAAGCATCAAGTTTTTCTTGAATTTCTCTAACTTTCTCTATGGAGAAAAACAGAAAATAAATTAGTTAAATAAAAACAAATTTATTTTTCAAAGGTATCTCAAATTACAGGAGATAACAATTTACAAAAATGCTCAGGTATACATCTCTAACTCTTTGGCAGAAAGGGAAGAATGAGGCTCAGTACCTTAGATCCAAATAATGTCCAGATGCATTGGTGTAGCAGTGCTTAGCCATTTTTTGGAAGGAAAAGGAAGAGAAGTGTATGGCGGACCCATTTGGGAAGTTAATAAAAGTGATGGCTCTTACACAAAAAATGTATAAAAAGATACATGTATGACTATAGGTATAATTTTAATAAAGTCTCTGATTCTCTAAGGTCCTATTAAAGACTCACAGTTAGCAATGTCTGAAACAGGAAAACAAAAACAATTTTTAAAAATTAAAAAAAGTGGATATTTAACTGGCATAAGACTGAAAATGATTTTTTAAATAAAAAGTAATGGGAGGGGCCGGGGATTTAGCTCAGTGGTTTCGCCACCTGCTGTGCAAGCGCAAGGACCCGACTTTGATCCCTGGTACCAAAACAAAACAAAACAAACAAACAAAAAAAGTAATGGGAGAAGTTGGGAGGAAAGATCAACCAATATGATGACAGTCACTTTCATTCACATGCCAAAATAGCACAAAATGAAAGACAAAGCAGACAATGGGAAATATTTACAACAAACAGGTAAGGGCAATAGTACTCTAAAAATACATACATGAAAGTACTTTTTCAGCTGCCAATAAATAAAGTTTAAAAACACAACAACCACTGAAAGTAGTTTTACATTACTCATTTGCTTTTTAGTTTTTAAGTTTATAGGCTTCCAAAGAGAATCTGTAATTTCCCTCTGAAATACAAATTTCCTCCACAGATGTGAACTACTCGAAGTACATGCTGATCTCTTCCTAAAAGCAGAGCGCTGTCCTCGGCCCCACAGACTGTCAGTGGGTGCCCAGGGGCGCCACTCACGGCCTGCGGAGCAGGAGCTCTTTGTGCTGAACGATACCCAAAGCTGCTCTGAGGTGGGCGCCTAACTCTGTAACGTCTAAGTGAAAACCAAAGCCTCCTAACTCACAGGGAAGCGACTCTTTTTCTGTATAAGAGTAAAGGGATTATTTAACATGAAAACCACAAAATAAAAACTGTCAAATTCCCCTTTAGTTTTACACAAAGTTCTATCGTTACGACATGAGGACAAAGTACTACTTTGCCATGACACCTCCGGAATGGTACAGAGGACACTCAAGTGAGTTACTAGAAGTGGTGGGGACTGAGGTGGATGGAGGGAAGGGTTACAAGAAACAAGAATGGCTACCAGGTGTATCCTTTCAACACTAAAAAAATTCATGCCTTTGCCACCCTGTCACTGTCCAATGCACGGATGGAGTGGTACGGGACACAGGTGACTTCCTACCTCTGAGGAACATTTCTTCCTTTCTCTCTCACTCAAAGTCTATGAAGTGTCCACTATGTCTGGGGTGATTTCAAACTTGACACTTCACTTGGTCCTCACTCAATCCTGTAGGTGTCATTGCTAAAGAGGAGGCTGTCACAGCTTGAAGAATTAGCCCTGCTCATATTTCTCGGATTCAGAAATGCATACTAGATTGGGCCGGGGATTTAGCTCAGTGGTTCTGCCGCCTGCCTTGAAAGTGCAAGGTCCTGAGTTCAATCCCCAGTACCAAAAAAAAAAAAAAAAATGCATACTAGATGGGGTACCACATGCTGAATCTAACCAGTGGCAAAGCAGTCTACTTGTTATAAATATTACTTTTATGTGAAATAAGACATTTTGGTAAAAGTCAAGAATATGGGTATAAATCATCATGGCTAATTATAAAGCAAACTCCTTTTTCTATTAGATATTTGAATTGAACATTCATAACTAGAGAATTCCTAAAAATATTGTGACTTACCTGATAAATTAAAGAAACTCAGGGAGGGATTAACAAAAAACTATTTCTGCTACACAGTTCTACACACAGTGAATAGTCTACTTTCTATTTACCCAAAGTTTACTTAAAAGATGAGCTATTTCAAACATCAATTCATTGTGCTTCTTGATTGAGTCATGAATATTCCCATAATCCCCAGCTCATAAACCATCAGTCTCAGTGAATGAAGTTGCTTCTCTTTTTTCTTTTCTTCAGATGATTTGACACCCATTCACATTTTGGGTCGCTTTATCTCCACGTGAAATGATACTCCTACTCTCATTTTCTTTTTGAGTTTTCTGATACTCGCTTTACAAGTCTCAAATATAGACTAATCTGTAATTAGGTTTTGAATACACTGTGAATGCAAAAGGCCAAAACTGGGAGAAAGTTCACTTCAGTGGCTAATAAGAGTTTACAACAGGGACAAAGAGCCACACACAAAACACTACCACAAGCACTGAAATAAATCTTTTACAACTTTTGACGTTTTTGAAGAAAGCAGGAACAAGTTGCAAATTTACTAATGCGGTGTACTTTCAGCAAACCACACTCCTAAAGGTCCAAGCGCATGTTGGTGTAACTGTTTCATAATAGGTTGCAGACCCCATTTTACAACACCTCAGAGGTGAGATTCCAGTGAGGAGCAGCATTTCATGCAAGGGCTGAAAGTTAAAAGAATGCTTCCTGCGTAATATATGTTGCTCCTGAACAGGTTTGCTTTTTATAGACAATTACATTATAAAAGTGCCCTTTAGAAGTTCAGTAAAGGAATCTAGGATATGGAGAAATAAGGGGGGAGGGAAGTGAACAAGAGACCAGATTCAAGATAATCAAAACTACTGACAAAATCTTAGATTCAGCACCTTTTATATCTGATGAAAAGATGAACTAGACACACAGTCAAATGTGTGCAGTTCAATCTAGTGTACTTACCTTCTGCATCTTGAACTCTACAGATCCCACCCCCCCCAAGAGGGACATGACTATTTTTAAACACTCATCAATAAGGAGATAAACAGAGATAGTTCTGATTGTTACAGAAGTAGGAGGCATTAATTCCTATGTTCTGTAAAGCTTTTTGAGATGGGCTTAGTGCTATCAAAGCTGGGGCTACCAGACTTCTGGAGGCTATAAAGTCTGGCTTATTTTATTTTTTCAAAACTTGAAATGAAAATTTTGGTTTGGGACAGAATTGCATCCATATTTCTAACAACTATTTATTTGAGCTGATTAGGAGCTATAACTGGTAGCTGTACATTTCTAACTGAAAAGAAAATAAGTGTATTATAGACAACTTTTTTTAAAACATCCATTTTATAGGAATATACAACAATGAAAAGTTTGATGATAACTAAAAAAAAAAAAAAATCCCTGGTGTAACTCACTAATAGTCAACAGGGTAGCTATTTTATGTCATTTTTATAAAGGGGAAAACATAATGTAAGCTATATTTTATAAGATACACTACAGTGTGGCATTTTGTCATTGCTCTTAACCTGTGGGGAAGTCATAGTTTTGGCTTGTCTATAAAATGAAGGAATCAGTCTAGAATTCAAATCCTGTATTACTTTAAAATTTAGACTGGGGTGAGGTGGAATCTCAGTGTTGTTTCCATTTGCATCTCTTGAATGACCAGTAATGTTGAACATTTTTTCATGTTTATTTGCCGCTTTTACTTCTTTGTCTGAAACATGTCTACTCATTTCAGATGCCCATTTTTGAATTGGGTCTTTATATTTGGGGGGGGTCTGATTTTTTTGAGTTCTTCACATATTCTAGATAGTAGACTTTTGTCTGAGGAACAGCTGGTAAAAAGTTTTTCCCACATTGTAGGCTGTCTCTTAGCTCTATTGGTGGCTTCTCTTGCAGTGCAGAAATTTTTAATAAGATGAGATCCCAGTTGTTGATTCTTTGTGCTAGTTCCCGTGCTACTGAGGTTTTGTTCATAAAGTCCTTTCCTATGCCAGTATCTTTGAGAGTTCTACCTAACCTGTCTTCCAGCAAGTTTAGTGTTTCTGTTTTAATATTCAGATCTTTAATCTACTTTGACTTTAGTTTAGTGTATGGTGAAAGATATGGGTCTAGTTTTAAACTTTGACTAGTTGAAATCCAGTTTTTCCAACACTATTTATTCAATAGGCGATCTTTCCTCCAGTGAGGATGGTTGGCTCCTCTGTCAAAGATCGGGTAACTGAGTGTGTCTTGGGTTGTTTCTGCATCTTTTAATCTATCCCACTGACCCTCGGGTCTGTTTGCCAGTACCATGCTGTTTTTATCACAGTGGCTTTGTAGTACAGTTTCAAGTTGGGAACACCCTGCCGTGATCCTGTGATACACCCCGTCACGACCCTGTTGCCTAGAATTGCTTTTGTTATTCTAGGTCTCTTCCAGTTCCAGATGAACTTTTGGATTGTTTTCTCTAGTTCTGTGAAATACGCTGTTGGGATTTCAATCAGGATTGCACTGAATCTATATAGAAGTTTTGGAAGTATGGCCATTTTCACTATATTGGTTCTTCCTACCCAGGAACAGGGGATGTCTTTCCATTTTCTTATATCCTCTTTGATCTCTTTTTTCAGAATGTTGTAGTTCTCAATGTAGAGGTCTTTTGATTCCACCTCACCCCAGAAAAAATGGCTGTTATCATGAAATCAACCAATAACAAATGCTGGCAGGGCTGTGGGGGGAAAGGAACCCTTCTTCATTGTTGGTGGGAGTGTAGACTGGTGCAACCACTGTGTAAATCAATATGGGGATGCCTCAAACAATTAGGATTGCAAGTCCCATTTGACCCAGCTATTCCTCTACTGGGCATCTTCCCAAAAGAATTAAAAGAATCATACCACAGTGATATATGCACACCCATGTTCACAGTGGCACAGTTTGTAATAGCTAAAACTTGGAAAAAGCCCAATTGCCTGTCAACTGGAGACTGGATAAAGAAGATTTTTTTTTTTTAAATAAAATGGAGTACTACTCAGCCATAAAGAATGAGAAACTAGAGAATTTATAGCTAAGTGGATGCACATTGAGGCCATACTTTTAAGTGAAA